TGATTATCACTATTATTACCTTTTCTTTTATCTCCAATTGGATAGTAAGAGAAATGGAATCGTTTTCATTCATTATTTGAATTTCTATATTAACAAGTCTATATATGCCAATATAAATTCATGGAAATTTATGTCTTGTTCTGCTTTGAGTTTCCTGTAAGTAAGAAAAGGACATACAAAGAGTAGCAGAGGCAATAAAATTGTGTACTTTTGATATCGAACCATTTCAACATTCGGTGCCTAGTTCCTTGGAATAGCATTGCATTTGTTATCTGTCATACCTATGATGTTTCTTTTCTCTCCTGTATTTTGAAGGTATGAGCTCCTAATTGCCCACAAAGAAGAGCTTGGACAACTGATAACCTTGGAGCAAGGAAAACCCTTAAAGGAAGCTATGGGTGAGGTATCATATGATGCACTTTAGCAATCATCAGGTATTGACGTGTTATCATTTTGTTCTTTTAACATACACTTTCCAACTCGTTATACAGGTTACCTATGGAGCCAGCTTTATTGAGTTCTTTTCTGAGGAAGCAAAACGAGTATATGGTGACATAATCTCACCAACTTTAGCTGATCGACGGCTCTTTGTCTTGAAGCAGGTCAGTTGACAGTTTTATTTTTTTGGGGGAAATTACCAGAATGCCCCATTATTATTTTTTTTTTTTTTGGAGAATTGACAATTTATTGCAACGTTTGATATGGAGATATTTGGAATGTTAATGCAAGCATTAGTATGCAGGTCTATAATGAGCTTAAGTACACAGGATGCTAAGTGACCAGGCAATAAATTTATGTTATTCAATCTGGTGTTTCCTCAAGATGTAGATATCATTGTTGAAATTGAACTGACCATGTAATGCTTAGGTTTGAGAACTGGATCTGAAGGGAGTCTTTTTCATCTCACCACACTTTTTTTTTTTTCACTCTTATGATGTTATACGGACTACATTTTACTAGAGATCGTATGGAGGATTTTTCAAATTTAGATTTAGGGAATTTGGGAAGTCTTACGTTGTTAATAATTATACCTAGAAATTTGTGCATACTCACTATGGGTATTCACGTTTGCTCCCAAACAAAATATTGAAGCCTTATTACAATAGTCAGTACCATAATGTTTCATTAACATTTTCTTTTGCAGCCAGTTGGAGTTGTTGGTGTTATTACCCCTTGGAACTTTCCATTGGCTATGATTACAAGAAAGGCTGGTCCCCGTCATGAGTATTTGTGTTTCAATTGTTTACTGTGTCATTCATTTTACTTTTATGAGAACATTATCTTTCCAGTTAATGTATGCTATTGAAAAAACCTTATTTTCTGTTACCCTTGCATTCCAGGTTGGACCTGCTCTTGCATGTGGTTGTACGGTGGTCATAAAACCTGCCGAACTTACCCCCTTGACAGCTTTAGCAGCAGCTGAGCTCTCACTTCAAGCTGGAATTCCTGCAGTAATTACTGATGAGAATATCCTGCTTTTAATTAATTTTTATATTTTTTTTATTCCAGATTTTTTTTTTTTTTTTGAAAGCCTTCCTTATACATATATATTGGCAAGACCAGTAGAATTTGACTTCGTACTTGTTTTTCTGATAGTCTAGGTATATGCTTGTTTTTTTGCATGAATTACTTTTGGTAGGCTATGTTTTGTCATTAACTGCTAATGGTAAGCAAGAAGTTTTGCAGAACATTAGCTAGGCATGAATGACATCCCTTAGTTCTCTTCGCTTTACATATTTGTTAATCCCTATCAGAAAACATATTTGTTGAACTGCATTGTGTTCACAAAACTTTGTTTTGCATTCGCCTCTGTAATCTTCAGTTTGCAGCTCAGTGTTGGTGCAATTTTCAGTTCCTAGTGCATGGGTAATAGTTGATTTTTTTAATGTGTAGGGAGTCGTGAATGTGGTTATGGGAGATGCTCCAGCTGTTGGGGATGCTATACTTGCAAGTTCTCAGGTTCCTTACAATATTAATAGAACAATTACTTTTGCAGTATGGTGCTACTGCTTTAATCTTATTGGTGCATCAAACCTATGCAGGTAAGAAAGATCACGTTTACTGGCTCAACAGCAGTTGGAAAAAAGTTGATGGCAGGAGCTGCTGGAACTGTTAAAAGGGTATTCACAGTTCAGAATATTAAAGCATTTTTTCAGGATGGAGATTTGAAAAACCTAATGTGGCTTATGATACTTGTTTCTCTTCTCTAGGTGTCCTTAGAACTTGGTGGTAATGCCCCTTGCATAGTCTTCGATGACGCAGATGTGGATGTTGCAGTAAAAGGAGCTGTAAGTAAAATTTCAGCATTTGGAACTCAATGTAGTTTTATGGTAAAATATCACGGATAGGATCTGACATCATTGTTTTTGTTATCTTTGCCGCTGTATCTATCTAGATTTTGTTTTAATCAAACAACATGTTTTGTACAATAATTTGTCCTGTCAAAAGTCACAATTGCAGTGCTTACAAACATGGGTCTGTAGTTTGTAAGTTTTTAGAGGTGAACAAATGCCTGTCTATTGAGGATCATGGCCCAGAAACAATCTTAGTCATGCATGGTTCATAAAATTAGCACTCCCCGTGATGTGTCTATTCAACACCACTCTTTCCAACAGAAAACTGGGGATGGAGCCTGTTTGTGTTGACGACTTTGCTTTGACTTTTCATCTTTCAGAGCTTATAATGTACCTAAGTTGAAATTATTCTTTTACTTTTCCTCAAAATTACATTCCACTTGCAGTTTTCGTTATACATGTCAGTCATCTTTTCTGTCTGTTTTGTAAACTTTGGAAAGTAAACTATTTTTCTGGAAGTGCAATGTTATCTTGCTTTGAAAAATTCAGTAGGAACATTAGCATTACGTCACATACTTCTATGGAAAAGTTAGTGGTGATACCCTATTTCATCTTTCAGATTGCAGCGAAGTTCCGAAATACTGGACAGACTTGTGTTTGTGCGAATAGAATTTTTGTTCAAGAAGGTATTGACAGATGTATACTTCAGTTCTGAAGGATGCTTCTTCTGCTCATTTAAAAGACGTCTCACAGATGCTAGTAGTTTTTTGCTTGAGAGTTTTCTGAATGCTTTTGATAGTATTATCAGTGAAATCTTATGTTTCGTAGTTGACTTTAATACCTTGATAATGACTAACGAACTATGGACATTCACTTGTCCATTTAGGTTTTGCTTAAGTTCTAAGAAACGATGGTAGTGATAGATGAACTAATTCTAAAGAGTTGAAAGCTATTAGTTGATACGTAAAACCTGATATTAGGGTGCCAATGGCTGGTAGGGGGATATGCTCGTTATCTGATATATCAAGTCAAAAACAAAATCTTTGAAATTCTTCTTACCATTGTATTTGGGCAGTGGTTCTTCATTTTCAGATCTCATAAGTAGAACTTGATGTGGGAAGGGGAAACATCGAAGGGCTTTAATGGAAAGTGTAGAAAGTTTTAAGTGAGGTTAGATTTTGTTTGTAAAAGCCTCTCTACACCCCCCCTGCCACCCTCCTCTGCCACCTACCCAGGTATCTGCATTGACCTACTTGTTGGCCAATCATGACTTCCACGTTAACACCATGGAACCAATTGATACGCTCCATAGTCATGGACTGAAAAACCTTCACTATAGCTTTTGACAAACACTCTCGAGGCAGCAAGGACAAAATCACCGAGTATGGCTGATTCACCTCACATTCCCTGACCCTCACCATGGATGGCTTTAACCTTCAACACCCCTGTCAAATATATGTGCTCCATCAAATTCTTCTGAAATTCGGTGCATTGAAAACATACTTTGGATAGAAAAGTTTAACAACAAATATGGTTCTTCTTTGAAGTTATTGAACTACTCCACAACGGAAGTAGAAAGCGCATTCTCATCCTATCTGAGACTGTATATTGCAATGTGTTAACATCACTTTCTAATTTGATTTTCTATTTTCTTCGAGAAGATGAATATCTTTGTTGGGATAGTACAATAGTTTCATTTAATCTTAAATTAATTCTTGAATTCATTTTGGATTATTAGCTTTGACCAGATGAATCATGTTTTTTTTACTTCGATTTGAACAAAGCTCTAGTTTTCAGGTATATACGAGAAATTTGCTGATGCTTTCTCAAAAGCTGTGCAAAATCTGCAAGTTGGTGATGGTTTCGGTGAAGGTGTATCTCTGGTAGTTGCTCGTGCCTTTAATTCATTATTCAGTTGTGATTGTTAGTCTTTTCATTATAAAATTATCTTCCAAGCTCGAGGTAATTTAATTTTATCAAGTGCCAGTAATTTGTTTGCTATCGCTTAACATTCCATATTTTACCCCTTCGTATTGTGAAGGACCTCTCATTTTAAATGTTTTGCATCAACCTTTCAAAGTTAAAACCCAGATATTACTGGAAAATGCAACTAATGCTCTTTCTTGGAAAATTTAGTTCAAAAGAAACATGGGAATTTTTTTTACTGGACATATGAATGTTAGCGAACTTTGGATTTTGTTTGCTTTGTTTCTTATTTCGGATTTCTTATCTAAATATGAATGCACTCCCTTTTACATTAGATTGAATTGGATAGTTTTTTTTTCTAATTTTTGTTGGCCGTCAGTTTGGGAAGATGTCTCCTCTTTTCTTCTGTTTTTTCTTCAATGAGATCATATGTTCTTTTCTCTGAAAACATAATGACACACTTGTTCTAACAAGGATATTATGTTATAGCTGCTTTACAATAAACTTATTACTAGTTGAACTTGAGGTTTCTCTATAACGCTTTTAAGAACCATAATTTAATTCGCACTTCATTTGTTCAGGGTCCTTTAATTAATGAAGCTGCCGTGCAGAAGGTTTGTTTTGTTTCCGTCAAGTTAACCATCAAATCTGCATTCTTGCGTCATTTAATTTGAGCAGTTTCTGTATGAATTAATGCATGTGATTTATTTATTTATTATTATTATTATTATTTTGTTATAGGTTGAGAAATTTCTTCAAGATGCCACCACAAAGGTTTGTTTCTGACCTAATCTCGTGGAACTATTAGGTACTATCATGGTAATGAGTCAAAGAGGCTCTGATGACTTGTTACTTTACGTTAAATGGTGTTTGGTATTGCCACTCACCAGTCAGTTTCCAAAAGTTGAACAAAAAATTTCAGGATTTCTAAATCGTGCAATGAATGTAGATGTTTAGCTTTCCTGAAGAAATATGCCTATTTGATTGTGCATTGCCAATTTCTTTTCCAGAGGATTCATTTGTTTCTTTTTAATGTAATTAATGGGCTTTGGTTCTTCTTTTTAGGGATCTTTGGTCTTAGGATTAATAGAGCCAAATATTATGTATTTGACAATGATTGTGATAATGAGAACTTGAGAGTCAGGATGTTGAGCTCATATATCTACGGTTTTTAGTTTCCCTATTATTATCTCGGTTGTAGGGCGAAATTAATTAGTTGTATTGTTGTTTCCGTTCTATTATCCATTCACTGACATGTTACCATTTGTTACTGTGGGTACTGGTTCTGTCAGTTGAGTTCTGTAAGTTACTGTGGGTGCTGGTTTCTTATAATAATTATTTATCCTCTAATTAATCCTCTTTGGTAAAAATTTTATTCGTAGTTTGATAATCATTTGGTTTTTGGTTTTTTGTTTCTTAAAATTAGACTTATAAACACTACTTCCACTTTGAGTTTTTTGCTTTGTTATCTATTTTTTAGTAATGTTCTTAAAATCTAAGTCAAGTTTTAAAAACTAAAAAAATTTTGTTTTTGATTTTGGAATTTAGTGCATAGATTCTTTTCCTTTGGATAGGTGAAAACCACTTTAAAGAATTTGTAAGAAAACAGCCACAGTTTTTTTAAAATCCAACCAATCCATATTCAAGAGCTATTGTGCATAGATTCTTTTCCTTTGGATAGATGAAAACCACTTCAAAGAATTTGTAAGAAAACAGCCACAATTTAAAATAAAAGACAAAATCTATGCACTAAATAGATATCAAATGGGCTCTAGTTATTGAAAAAAAGTCTATAAGTACCTTCAACTTTTCATTCTTATCTGGAATACCTTGAATAGCTAACATGCTAAGCATTGACATACATACGCCAATTAAAGGTTGAAAGTTCCTGAGAAGATACCGAAGTGTTGATGGATTAAATGCCTGTGTGGGCTTTTGTCACTTGGGGTTTTTGTAGTTGTCAGCTTGGTCTAATTGGGTTGGGTTGGACTATTTTTCAGTAGCTTCTCTTCGGTTATTTTATTATATTTTTTATTTGCATCTTTTTATATTTACTCATACATTTAATTTATCACAATTAAAAAAAAGAAAGAAAAGAAAAGCTTTCCTAAATTTTGGGGCATGTTGACGTGTTTATGTTTTCACAATTAATGTCACTAATAAATCCTTTAAAGTTCACTTAGTTCTCTTTCCCTCTCTCTACTTTCCTATTTTTCTTTTGAAGGGAGCAAAAGTTCTTCTTGGAGGTAAAAGACACAGCCTTGGAATGACATTTTTTGAGCCTACAGTTCTTACTGACGTGAAGAATGACATGCTTTTATCCAGGTATTAATGTTGCATGTTACGTTACCTCTCCTTAATCATCTTTAGAACCTAGTTTAATTAGTCAACTGACATTCACTTAGATGTTTCAATGTTGAGATTTCTATTGGAGCAATTTTTGTTGCAATAACTTTATTCTCTCTGTTATAAGATCCTAAATTAGAAATTTCTCTGACCCTAGAGACTTTTCTTGACTGTCCTCTTTCTATCATCTTGATCGGAATTGTATTAGTAATTGGTTAGAGAAGTTGTTATGGTAATAAGGGAAAAAGGGTGAAGATAGCCATTGATCCAGTTGGTTTAGGTTTGAGTGATCTCAAGAGAGGAAGGGTCCAGTACCTCAACAGTCATGGTTTATCTGGTAGTTTTGTTATCTTTTATTTTTTCAGTATATTTGGTTCTATCACACCTCAACTAACCTCGCGGCTAATATCTTTTTTATGTTATTTATTTATTGTCCTCTGCGAATGGGATATTAGAATCCCTTTCATTAATAAAGAAAGAGGAAGCAAAAGAAGGGAAAAGTACAAAGTATCCAGTCAGTAACCAATTTTTTGATCGATTTGACTTGGATATGGAAGATTCTGTTTGGCACTTAATGTGTGTAATGTTCTTGTAACATGTGCAAGATTTCTAAAAAGCATAATTAACATGCTATACTTGATTTGGAACTGGGCATTCCTTCAATCCTATGCTCAACCGTGCTTCATGGCTTTGTATTTTTGAACTGGTTCTATTTTACTTCAGGGAGGAAATATTTGGTCCCGTGGCACCCTTACTGCCATTCAGAACAGAGGAGGAAGCAATTGCTCTCGCTAATGACACCAATGCAGGTTCTGCTCTAGCCATGATATTCTAATCATGTATTCTGCCCCATTTTTCACCATTGATTAATTGTGTTTCTTAGTACTTTTTAAGCGATCAATTCATAAATTTTAATTAATCTCTGATGTCTTATAGGATTAGCGGCTTACATATTCACAAATAGTATTCAACGTTCATGGAGAGTGACTGAAGCTCTTGAATATGGATTGGTTGGTGTTAATGAAGGCTTGATTTCTACAGAGGTGAACCTCATCCTGCCATCTCTTTTACCCTTTTTTCCTTCCTTTTTTTTTTTTTTTTGGGGGGGGGGGGGGGATGTTTTTTTTAACTCTGATATAATTAAAGATTATGATGAAGTGAATCTGCACGAAAGCTTTGTCCTCATACTTCTCTTGTTTATTTGCATTCAAAGCCTCAACTGTCCCAAGAAGTAGCCACTGATATATGCCATAGACTTTTACTTCCTCATAACAAATATCACCTCATGAGGATCTGCTTAGCTTGGAGTAACCTAAATTTTATAATCAGGCCTTCATTAGTGATTAGAAAACTTTATATTTGTTGGAGAATGATAACTTGCTGTCCATCTTTGAAAAGAATTTGGATGGTGGGGCCTGCCCGGTCACTAGAAGACTATCTCCTTCCAGTTTCCAAGGAGAAAAGTGGCATGGAGTTTGGTAGTCATTGCCCAAAGAATTCAATTTTGATCTCCAAATGCTTATGACAGTTTCCTTTTCAGTGGAACTCATTGTGGTATCCAGTGGGTGGTCCAAAGTAAATATGGCCTTTCTAGGTGTAGGTGGACTTTTGAACCATCTAGGTTTTCGGATTGGTAGAGGTTGTTGGAAGATTATTTCGACTTCAAGTAACCTTATGGATGATACGTCCTTTACTATTGTTGGTGATGGTCTCTCCCTTGAATTTTGGAAAGATCGGGGATGGGGTTCTCTGACTTCCACCTCCTTCCTAAGTGTGTCCTGTGCTGTTTGTGACAGTAAGCGCGTTAGGTGGTAGTTAGATGCAATCGCTCACCACCAGAAGAGAAGAGAAAGCTTAACAACTTAGACACTATTAATTGATCTCACTGTTAAACTTTTTATCCTTCTGTGAGCTTTGGGAGAGAGGGGAAGCTTGCACGGGTGAAACAAGGAAAGGATGAGGATAATGTCCTCTTATTATGTGTACTTAAAATTCCTGGTTCCTTTAAAATTTTAGGATTGAAAGATTATATACATGAACAGTTGGCATGTAAAATTTGCCCCTCTGAGAAATTTGGCTCTATCTCTCAATGCTTGGCTGAGGAAGTTGGATGGTGGTTCTGGGGATTTTCACTGTCAAGGTTTACCATATGGAGGGAATTTTTCTTACTCCTTTGGATTTATGTAATGCCATAATTCACTCTTGTAAATGTGAGTGTAGTTATAGCTCACGGGTATAGAGATTTGCTCTCGATGGTCAGAAGTTCGAATCCTTCCAACTCCACATGTTTGAGCTCAAACATTAATTCACTATTGCGACTGAAAATTGTTGATCTTATTAGTCTTACTTCGATCATGTTGTGTTTTCCTAAAAAGATGAACAAATGGCAGGCTTGTTAAAAAAAAAACAGGGCCATTTAAATCATTCTGCCTGTTTCTTCTAATAGAAACACAAAACTGAGCATGGACGGCTCGTGGGAACTGTATTTGGAGCAGGATATTCAATTTTCACCTTAGTCCCCAATAAAGCAAAGTGCTTATCTCATCCCCGATGTCTTATTGCAGGTGGCCCCATTTGGTGGCGTTAAACAGTCGGGCCTTGGTCGGGAGGGGTCAAAATATGGGCTGGACGAGTATCTTGAGGTATTAATCACCCTTTTTATGCCAGTTTAGAAGGCTAATTATTTACGATTTTCATCTTGTTTTATCCCATCTGGCTCTTCGCTTGATTGTCTCTTTAAAATGACTATATAAGTGCTTAAAAATTCCTTCCAAAGATTCCTTTAAACACGATCCAATAATTTTTAAGGGAAAAAATGATGATTTCTAACAACTTTGATTCTTGTTTCTGTCTTCGAAATGTGAAAGAACTTTAGTTTAATTTCTTAAAATGGAGTTTATAACACTTTCTCAATAACCGACCCTTGCAGCTGAAATATGTTTGCCTGGGGAACATGGGCGGCAACTAGTGAGCGAGTGCTGTAACACTTTTGAGTCACTGGTCCGGGAATAATGGTCTTGGGCTTCTTCTAAGCCCAATGACCAAATAAAAACCAGATCATCGAGGCCCAATAAGCATGATCAACAACAAGTCAAGTTCGTTTCTGTTTCCCCAATCTTTGTAGAAGTGTTCTGTAAGTTCAATATTTTAATGTTAGGAGTGTTTCCTTATCAGTTTTCATTCTATTACTTTGCATCACTTTAACTTTAAGATAACTTAAGAAATTATTCTCAAAACTAGACCTCTTGCCAAGTTTTCCACAATACGCTCGAAGAAGATAGGTTTTCGAGTTTCTTTTGCTTGTCCCGTACCCCGACCCTGGCAGTAGTTTCTTAACGCTTAAGGAGGGGGGTATCGAACAGGTTGATGAATAAAGGCGTAGTGGAAAACAGGCAAAAGTTTAGTTAAGACTTGAGAGTCAGAATTGTGGGCAATTAGGACCTGAAAATATTGTAGAACAAAGATCTTGGGGAGTCTGAGTAGATGATTAACCAGCCGTACACGAGAAATGTAGAAAAACTGGATAAAAAGCTATGGGTCTCATAGGCTGAAATTGGAAGGAATATATTCATTTTAAAAGAGCAGGAATAATTCTCCTGAAAAAGATGCTTAAAATTCAAGCAAAGATGTTCTCCACACTAAAAGGTGAAGCCTAACCTTGATTCAATATTTTTTTCTAAGTTGTTGGATATTTGCATTAGTTTCATTGTATTATTTATTAGTAGCTTAGAACTCCCCCACAGAACAATATTCTTGTTTTCATTGCACATGGACAGGAAATTTGAGTACTAATTTTATTAATAAAGACTCGTATAAACCTTCAGAAAAGATCCTATCTAACAAGAGTTAGGCTTGAATTTAATCGCAAAGATTAATAGAGAAGTGGAGAATATTGCATATCATGAAGAAAAAAGGGGAAAAAAATGCTTAATTGATTAGGTATGGAGGACACTATAAACCCCTCAATGTGTTCGTTCATACATAAGCATTGGTAAAGGAATCTTCCTTTGATTGTCAAAGAAGGGAGCATCAATTCCCTGTTCTAATTTATTTCATTGCCCTTTTCCCTTTTTTTTTTTTTTTCTTCTTTTTCTTATCAAATTTCATGAACAAATCCATTTTAAACCATTAAGAAAGAAAAAAAAAAAAAAAAAAAAAAACTACAAAATTTTGGTCTTTCATTATAAGATGTGGAAATTAGTAGAGTATTTGAACTAGTGTTGCTTTCGAGTCGTGTTTTTTTTTTATGAATTACAAGTTGTGTTTAGCTTTAAAAATTGTTTAATATGTTTTAACTTTTCAACTTTTACAGACGTATGATCATTACACTTCAACCGAGTTATTCTATTCCACCTCTTAGAAAGAAAAGAACTTAAATCAAAATACTT